TGACATCACGTTCTTTTAAATTGCTATATTTGCTCTACACTTACATACGGAGTAGTAGTTTCGACTCGGTTTTGAAATTGCGGTATTTGGCGATTTTTTGCGATATTGCGGCGTTCAGAACTCCCCAATGTCCTGTCTAACTAGAGCATACCACACGGTAACAACTTTCAAGAAATTTAATAAGTATAAAATATATAAACATTATACAGTATATTTAAGTATATAAGGCCATCCCCCCTCTTTTTTTTCGTTTATTGTCGAATGTGTTTCTGATTTTGGGTCGGTCGGTCGGAAAAGGAAAAAAAACAAAAATAAAATTGGAAAAGGAGTCTGGAGCTAGGAGGCCTGGTACCTCAGCATAATATACGTGGAGCCTGGAAACAACAAGGTGTGCTTACAAAGTCAACATCGCGGCAATGGAGGAAGGAAAAAGTCGACGTCGTTGTTAAAATCAAACGAGAACAGGGAAAAATAAAAAATCTGTAAGGTACAAAATTGCTTATGTTTCAGATTAAAGTGACAATTGTTTGAAATAATGTGTCATTGCCTTCATTGCCTTCTGTGTAACTTTTTTTTTTTTTTTGAAAACGCGAAAATCTGGGTCGGTCGGACGACGCTAAACAGAGGAAAAAAAAGGGGATGGCCTAAACAAAGGAAACATGACCGTGACGGTGTTAGAATGTCCGATCTTGATTAGCGTAGATTTTTAGGATTTTGTTTCTCCGTTTTCTCCTTAGTTTTAGTTCCGATTGCGAAGATATATCAAACACGAAAGACCGTGTTTGACCACATTTCCAAAGACTCCAAACACCTCGAAGTTCGTCAAAAATACTCCACCGCCTGTCGCATTTTCAACTCTCTTCTCGGTGTTTGGAAATCATGTGGTCAAACACGGTCTTTCGTGTTTGACATCTTACATCAAAACTCTCTGGGCTAAGTTAGACCTAGAGTGTCTAAAGTTTCTGCCAGACAGGACTCCACAAACCACCTCTAGGCAAATAAACTTTTACCTTTTATCGCGTACATGTGTTTTTTTAGAAACTAGTCCTTGAATCTATATAATTCTGAATAGACTATTGTAGGTGTCATCTATTAGGAGAGAGCTTTCCTTCAGCAATTTTCTGTTGGTAAGTTAGTAAAATTTATCCATCTATTTAGTAGTTAATAGTAAAATGTAATCCATGTGTTGTGTGAATCAATGCACCGTAAAAGAGACTGGTAGATCTGATTGTTTATTGACAAAAAACTGGACTAAAAGCTATTCACAGATTGAAACTCATTCCTTGATCAATAATATTGCACAAAGTTTTGTAGTGGTCATTAATTTTCAACATTGATCAAAAGCAACAGACTGTCATGTTTCATGAAAATCGCCATTTTCTGGCTGGTATAGTGTGAAAACAGCAGTTTATGAGTTAATATCCCTGGTCCACATCCACACAAAACTTGAGTTTTTCACCTGCCTCGTACAAGGCAAGGTTCTCAGCAAACAATTCTGCTACCTTAAAAATAAATACGGTAAAATCAAGTTAATCCATGAAGTACACAAATATCACAACAAGGACATCCATGAATATATTCTGTGACTAGAAGGAGATAGGTCACCCCCCCCTGGGTGGACTCATCACCAAATTCTAAAAGTTTCAATTTAACGAATATGACTGTTCACTTACACACAATTGAATCTAGCTTTCTCAAGCTGGTTATCTGGAGCCCCTATCATCTCTACATCAAATCTTTACCCCATGGATATACTTCTCAGTCATCTGCTATCTCCAACCCAAACACTCTCGCACTTTTTTGCTCCTCTTGAGAGATCAAGATGGCAGGGCTGGATTGTATGTAACCAGAATTAAGTGCACTTCTCCAGGAAAGTGAAGCAAAGCTGGAAATGAAAAATTTTAACCAACCTTCAATTTTTCTGTGGAGGTAGGTTACCTTGGGGTATAAACAAAAACAACCATATTTGGATCGGCAGATGTATCGTTGCCATGGTAACCGCACTAGATGACGTCGGCCTCAGGACCATGTTTTGAGCATAAGTTCCACTCTCAAAAAGTTAAATTAAACGGGTCTGGTTCTCGGTTGCATGTGCACCAATTCAAATGAAATTCATACAGATGGTAGAGCCACTCTCCCAGTTTATAAATTTCCCCGTTAAAGTATTTTGGGTTTTATAAACAAGAAGAAAATGCTCGTCTCACGATGTTCCCTGTCAGCCATTTTGACAAGCAGGAAAAACAAGCACAACCATATTCGTAATTTCACCGAA